CTTTCGGATAGCGCATCAAGAACCGGGTTGACCGGGTACTCGGTACCACCGGTACTTAAAAAATCCTGGTACCGTAACGTTTTCATTTTTTTAGTACCAACTTGGTACCGAAGTACCGGGTCTTTTGACAACACTAGTGTAGACTATTTATTATTTATATATAACATTTGAAATTCTTAGAGATGCATATTCTAAGATGAAGGCACACTTATGTTTTTGCATTAAGAACATTTACACACATATATATTGTAGTGGTGTGCACAAATAGTCGAATATTCAATATGTAATTATTATTCGAAAACTAAAAACACTTCAAATTGTACTGTTTTGCTTTGCTGGCTGTAAATGCATGGAATCCATGATAAATCCTAAGCATGCAAACTAAAAGTCAGTTATAAGTAAATGCACTGGGTCGCGCTGAGGAGCGTGTTAACAAAGCGATTGTATTTGATCACAGAATGTCGTTGTGTGCCTCGCAAAGTTTGGAATTACTTTGATCAAAATGAATCATTGAAACCGAGTTATCATAATATCACCACCACAATGAGAAATCACATGAAATCCAAACACCAGTCGACTGAAAGACAGCTGTCCATCACTGCATTCATGACTGCAGGTAAGCGCAGCTGTACCCAGAGTGAGCCGAGAAGAGAGCTTATCTGATGATCTTGAGACATATGCTTCCTTTAAGTGTCCTCGAGGGAGAGTGCTTTAAGAACAGAAAACACAAAGCGCTGTAAGAAACTTTGCTTAGCACACCGTTATCTTTGTCTCGTTATCACCTTTGTCTCTGGAACGTCTGTGTGGGCGCGTGTTCTTATTGTTATCGGACTGAAGAGCCAACTTTCATGTGGATATTATTGTTTTTCTCAACATTAACATGATGTGAGACAAAATAAACACGATAAACATAGGCCGACTCGAGTGTATGTAGGTTCTTTACTGTAATTGGCACTGTCTGCTTTATTTTTCCTGTTGCTCTGCAGCTTGCCTTGGTTTTTTGTTTTGTTTTTTGTTTTTTTAACATGTTTTCAACTAAAAGAAAACCTTGAGATATAACGTAACATTGTTGTAGAACATTGTTGTGTATAATGCCTAATAATAAGCTTGTTCAGAAATGGTGACAAAAACTTAAATGTCATATAAATAAACGAATATTTGAATATTAATTTTTTTATGAGCCCAAATATTCAAACACAATATTTTTGAAAAATGCCCATCCCTACTATATTGACTGATAAACAAATTTAAGTGCAGGAGGGGTTTATATTAATAAAAAATGTAAAGCACTCACAGAATCATTAACACACAAACTACCCCTAGGACTCTTTAAAGCATCAGAGTTTGCGGAAGTGTTTTCAGTTCAGATTGCGGTCATCTGAGTGAATTCCTTCTGTTTCCTCTTTCTTTGTGTCTTTTTTAGTCCTCTCTTTAGTAGAGGGGAAGTTCAGTCTACTGAGGAACAAACATATAGGTGTGTGTGTTTCTCCCTGTATATTTTGCACAGACCTCTGGTGAGCCATCAGTTGGTACGTTTACATGGACAATTTTTGCTTCCATCGGAATGAATTCATTCTGATTGACGAATCCGAACGTAGTGTTTACATGAACGCTAAATAAAGTGATCGGGTTGATATGCACGTTTATGTCACAAGCTTCTGATCGGATTTACTCTTTTGACATGCGCACACTACATGAATATACAGAGTTTCCCACTGTTGTCGCATACTGTTTTAACACTTAATATTTATCTACTTTGGGTCCTAATTAGGCGACAAGCAGCACATGAACTGTTGTGCTGTGCTGCTTACTTTATAAAGCAGTAAAAGTGCCCATTCCTGCACCCAAAACCAGTCGTCTGTTGATGAGAGTCTTAAACAAGGATTGGTGGGCCGTTGTCCTGCTCCACTTCACAGACGCTAAGTGAAAGGGGAGTTTTATAATGACGGGACACTCATTTATGACACTATTCACCAGGAAGAACAGCTCGTTCCGCGCGTCATACGTCATTACGCTATTTCTACGTCACTGCGCATGTGCAGTACTTTCCAGTTACGGTTTTCAATCTGATCAAGTGTTTACCATGTCCTCTCGCTCGGATTACAAAAGGAATAAACCACCCCTTACAATCCGATCGAAATCGAAATCGGATCTGGCCAATTCAATCTGATTGATGTGGTTACATGTGACTTTTTTTTATTCTGATTGTGTTTCTAGTCCTATTACGATCGGATTAGTAGGGTCCATGTAAACGCAGCTACTGTTGCTGCACAGTTCAATTTAATTGGAGGACAGTCTTAAATTGACCGATTTCGAGTGGGGACTAGGAGAACTGCACACTGAGTTTGAGTATTTGTTTGGAGGAACTGAGTATTGTTTTGTATTCTGTTGAGAACTGTAGTTGCCATGCAGATCTGAAAGATACTGCACTGTTTGCTGAAACAACAGGTGGCAATGAACAGAAAATAAACGGCTCATCAGAAGTTCTTGAGTTTGTTAAATTGACACCTTTTTGCTTGTATTATCATGTCAAGCATAAACCTGGTTTTACTCTGTCACACAAGGCCAGTGAAGAGAGATAGCAGAGGGACTGTATCAAAGTCAGCCCATGCCATAAACCACTGCAGCTCAACGTGGTTGATCTTGAACTATGATGTTTGCGGTGATTAATTCAGTACTTGAGACATGATGAGTACTCACTGAGTACTCAAATCTTTTTAAGAAATAAGTTAGGAAATTTCTTAAGATAAATTCCAAGGAGTTTGTAAGAATGTTCGTTAAGAACCTCTAAAATATTTTCTTAACAGCATCTTATTTTTTTCTTAAGAAAAAAATGACAGTCTTTATGTGATTGAATAAATTGTGTTTCTTACTGAAGACTCACTGATAAACTAAATCAAAAACATTTCAAGGATTGTATTTTTGCGCTGCCTATAAATGACCGTAATAATCATAATAAATGACCAGCTTTACGGGCACTCAGCTTCGCATTTTTAACGCACCGGGGTTTTGAACAGTTACTTTAAAGAGCCTGTCTCAAGATGCAGTGATCCGTTTCATTCAGTTGTGTGCCTTCTTTTTGCGCTACAGTAAACGCGTCTTGTGTATGACCGCGTTCATATTCACTGAATACTGCCAAAGATTGACGCTTTTATAGGCTAAACTTAACAAAGGGGCCCCATATCCCCTACTATGTATTATATGTAGCTAGTGTTGTTGTAGTGCTTAAACACAACAATTAATTTGAAATAACCCAAAAAATTCATTAAATCATTTTTACCATTTGAGATTTAAGTCAAGTCTGACTTATCCTAAATGCCGGGACACACCAAGCCGACTCCAAAGAACTAGCAGCGACGAAAGCCGACGGTGTTGTCGCCTCGCGTCGGCAGCGTCAGACCAAAAAGCTGTGCTCGAACACACCGCACAGACTACAGCCGACGGCAAACTAACACGTGCGTCGTGCTCATGCGTGAGAGGAATTAACTGTCTATATCAGCAGCTATCAATAGTTTATATTCGTCATTCAAAAGGAGAAACCGAAACAAAGATATATGAGATAAATGCAGATATACGAAACGTAAGCAAAGCAGCAGTTGCTTACCATTTTGAATATCAGTAACATTGATAACTTTAATCATTTTAAGCAGCTCATGTTGTTATGAAAACATTCGCGTATTAGAATGATTGGGAAAGATCACGTAACATTTAAACAGCCTTCTGTCTGTACCACCTTCATTTACTTGCTTGTTTTCATCACTTTCGCTTTAATTCTCAGGCACTGACTCATTCGCTAAACTGAACATCCAGTCAGAGCTCTCACTCGCACCGACGGCCCCGACGCCGATTCAACATGTTGAATCGGACAAACTGCCGCCGACGTGAGCCCGACGAGAGCCGATGAGTGGAACACACCAAACAAACTAGCCCGACCGTCGCTTGGTCCGATGTTGGCCAACGGCCGACCGTCGGCTTAAAGCCTTTACTTTAAGAAGATATTTACAATGATTTTTAAGAATTTTTTTTTTTTCCAAGAAATTTAATTGTTCTTAGGAGAAAGGAAAATTTGAAATCGCATCATATGACCCCTTTAACTTTTTTCTTATATTAGAAAATAAGAAGAAAATGGCAGTTAAGAAGAATTTAGTTCTTAAGAATGTTTTGTGAATCTGGCCCCAGTTTCTTATCTATTGCATTAAAGTGCTATATAATATAATTAGAGATGCACCGATTGGCCGGCCAGTGATCGGAATCGGCCGATTATTCGCATGACCGGCCCCGATTGGTGACCGGCCGATCAGTCTCACGTCTTGCCGATTCCGAGCCGATCCTTTTATTGCCAGCAGCGCCGGCAATGACATCACAGCCACACGCACACTCACAGTCGCGTATAAACATGTTGTTTCGCGTGAGAATGATTCTAATTTTAATTTAATTCAGTGTAAACGGCGACTGATAATGTATTTATGTCGTGCCAGATGAGGCTTGCACAGCCTGAGTGAGTGTGTGAGAGAGACAGCACACACAAAGTAACTCACAGAAATGTATAGATGCATACTGCAGTAGAAAAAAAAAGATATTTACAAAATATGATTTAGGTGAGCAACATTATACGGCCATGATGTTTCCCCCGAATATCAATATCAACACGATTGCAATGTGACACTGATTTTATACAATAGTATTTCAATAAACAAGAAGTTAAAATTAAGTGACTTTTACAAAATTTGACGAAAATAGTTCCGATCAAAGCCACAGCAGGACTGTTGTGTGTCTCCGAGCAACACACAGCACACAGCGGTGTTTCGTTATTGAATGAATCCTCGTTTTTGAACGAATCAAGTGAGTCAATGATTCAGTGGCCCATTCATAAGGACAGTCACTTGCCTCGTTTCTGAATGATTCAGCCGTTTGAATGAATCGGTTGAATGAATGATTAAATTACTCACTCATGAAAACGGACATTTGCCGCCACCTATTGGTGGTTTAGTCATATTTAAAAGTATCATTGCATTTTGTCAACATTTGTTTAAATGGAAAGATAGAGTTTGTTAATACTAATTTGAAATTTCATTTGAATGTTAACAACTCTACAGTTTCTTATTATTCTAACTGAATTAATTGAAACAAAGTAAGAATTTGATGTGAAAGATGACACATTTAATAAGGTTAGGGGGAAAAATCCCACTAATAAACATAGTGGGAAATGACATCTGTTTTGTGACATACAGCAACTCATTTTAAGTTAACTATTTCTTCCTCTTTCCAGTCACAGAGCACTCTATTTTGAGAGTTGTTTAAGTGGGAGAAAATCTGTAACTTAGTCCAGATTGGGGTAATTGTAATGTTTAATCATTTCTTTTATTATGTCAATAATTATTTTTGCATTGAAATTTGCATAGATTTTTGTTTGTATATGCTGTCAATTATAGTTCTTAGAAAGAAAATCGGAATCAGCAAAAATCGGTATCGGCAGATCACACTTCCAAAAAAAATCAGAAATCGGAATCGGCCAAGAAAATTGCAATCGGTGCATCTCTAAATATAATAAATAAACATGACATGACTGGACTTCACCGAGTTCCGAGCTGTAGAGCTCATGTAGTCATCCACATAGCTAAACTCAGATGCTCTTTTCTCACCACTGTCATTTTTTACATATTCATCTAAGCACCACTCAAAAGCTTCAGGTTCGGCTGCATGTCGTCTTCTATTGGATTTCATCCAGGAGGGCTGAATTACAGTCTTGCGCTACAGCACCACACTGGTCAAACCGTGTTATTGCAGGCGCTTACATTAGGTCATATGAGATCAAACGACTTCTTGACAACAAAAATATTTGTTTTAGCCCTGAAAATATTGTTTCAGCCCTAATATAAATTCATCATAGGAAATTTGTGCAAGTTAGTGTCTCAAGCTCTTGAGTTAATGGCACTATTGACTGTCCTCATGGTCTCTGAGAACATCCAGCTAGTTGGAATATCTTGGTTGGCAGTTGGTGGGGTGGGTTTTCATTCTCATGGTAGTGATCAGAGACTGCTGTGATCTGGTCCAAACTTTGATTTGTGAACACAAAACCACATACAGTCTCACAGATGTAATTTGTTATCTTTGCTTGTTTGTGTAGCTTGAGTACTTTCTGGAGACACTTAAAATATCATAATAAAGAAAGAACACACAGGGAAAACAGTGTGTGTAAGTTCAGTGTAAATCTTTTGATCACTGAAGCTGACAACTGCTCCTGGCATGCATGTGGTCCTGGTCATGTGTACTATGACCCTGAATAGACAAATACAGATGACACACATTCACAGGGTAAAATCACTTCACTAATCAAATTCAAAGTTGATCTGTTGCAATTATTTATTCAGTTTAATTTGCCACCAAATTGGGACATTGCAAGAACCTGAGAAATGCCAGAAGAAAACACTTTTCCAAACCACTCTTCCAGTAGGTTTGCCATCCATACTGTTGTCAAGCTGTTTAGAGTTGGTTGGTGAGCCGCAATCTTTAAGGTGCTGTCACGTTTAATGTTGTTTGGCAAATTGTCTGAACTTGAGACATTTCATTAGGAAATTTTGAAATCTGGAATCTGGTTGAAGGCAAAATATTTGTCTGTGTAGGTTTTGCATCGGATTCAAAATGGTCACACAAATTCACTGTGTTGATTGTCAGAAATCTGCCTGGTTTGAAAGCAACTTCTGTGTGAACAGTGCTGCAGACAATGCTACACTATTGACAATGGACATTTTTTGCTCACAATCTTTAGTAGATATTTAACTAATGTGTTAACACTTTTATAGAGTGAGCAGTTATTGTTAAGATATCTATGGATAGCTGTCCTTTCTCATTTCTTGACCTAATATTAAGTGATTTGCATCCCTTGCAACCTTAATAATCAACAATAATGTGTCTCTTTGTGGGATACTAAGAAATCAGGCTGATTTTCATGCTGATGCTCATCAGGAATTCAGCTAATCGGGCTGCTTCAACCTTGTGGTGCCCTGCACATCCTGCATTAACTAGTTCATCCATTCTAGCTAAGCTGGCAGGATTATCTGCAACACCGAGGCAGAAGGAGTGGCACAGTCATTGCTAACTAAAACCCAGCCATGTTTCATGTTTAAATAGTGCTGCTGAAGGAAAGAGGGTGTTATCCTCATGTTATAGTGGGGCCTGTTAAATGATCTTGTGGTTAATATTAGGCTCCATCCATCCAGAAAGCCATTAGTAATACATAAGGGTTTTGTTTGACTCCAGGTGACTTCTATTCATTCATAACCTTAACCTCTTTCTCTTGTGCACAGGGCTGGTTGAACATGGTAGGAACTGGTCAGCCATTGCTAATATGGTAGGCACTAAGAGTGAAGCTCAATGTAAGAACTTTTACTTCAACAACAAGAGACGATACAACCTAGACAATCTACTACGTCAACACAAGGTACAGGTACAGATCCAGCATTCATAGAATAAATCTGCTACATCCAAACAAAACGTACATTTTTTAGGAGGTCACTCCTATATCTAGATATCTAAATTATCGTACAAAAATTTGGGGTCAATAAGATTTTTGAAAGTAGTCTCTTTTGCTCACCCAGTCTTCATTTAATTAATCAACAATACAATAATTAAAAAACAGTAATATTATAAATTATATTACAATTTGAATGCTTTTCTTTTTCATTTCTTAAAATGTAATTTATTCATGTGATGTTAATTATTAATTTCTTTAAAAAAGTTCTTACTGACCTTAAAATTTTAAACAATAGTATATATCTAAATCTCTACTAGTTACCACTTTCCTACAAGTAACAGTGGCTTTGCTGTTTTTAAGCATGATATTTAAAAAGTGGCATAAAGGGTCCTGCAGGGAGACAAAAAGCTGAAAAATGTCTTCCAAATGCATGTGACTGTGGTGTAATCTATATTTGTGAACTGTTTATGTGTGTATCTTATGATTTTTGCACCTCTTATGTTGTTGTGTGCAGGGTTCCCGTCGGCTCCGTGGAAATCAAGACCCATCACAGAGCGATCCTGCGCCTGATGACGATGAGGAGAGTGATGGTATGATCTCTCTGTGATTTTAGGGTGCTTTCACACTAGCACTTTTGGTGCGCACCCGGGTTCAATTGACGTCAGAGTTCAATACGTTTGGATGATGTGAACGCTGTCTTCCGAATTCAGGTGCGAACTGTACCCAAGTCCGCTTAAAAGGGGCGGTCTGGCGTACGTTTCAAGTGAACTCCGGTACGGTTCTCTGCTGATGTGAATGCAATCGTACCAAATTGCAGAAGTGAAGTACCGAATTGCAGAAGTTCACTCAATTTCCTGACGAGCGTGACTGACACGCTGCAAGCAGAGAGCAATATATCTCATTTCTGTTCGCCTTCAGCGTTCTTTAGAGCATTTGCAGTACATTTGTAAGACAGACATAAGTGCCGTTATTTACTGAAGCTTTGGAAACAAAACCAACGGTTCAAAAACATTCAGTACATATCAGTGTTAATTTCGTCAACGAAGACGACGAAGAAAAATATTCGTTAACGAACATTTTTTCTGTGACTAAGACGAGACGTTGATGAGCTAAAACTATTATCTCATGATAAAAACTATGACGAAATGTATGCTGCGTCTTCGTTAACAAGACGAGACGGGACTATAATGTTATTTGAGGACTACCGGACATTCAAAATACATCCTATAGGCTACTGTCTTGTCCTTCAAAATGTGCGTCCCTTTCTTTGGATTGCAATTGGATAAGGGGCGTTTGCATATCTAGTCTCAGTATGGCAGCCGCAGT